TTGTTTTGAGTTCTGGTAATGGCAGTGGTTAAGAGTTTCCCTTTTTTTTTTTTTTTGCGGGGGAGCTTTGAAGCTGTTTGCGTGATTTTGCGATTGAAGAGTTTGTAGAAGAGAAGAGAATTGGGAGAAGAATTGATAAGGATAGCGATTTTAAAATTCAATACGTATTCCTTTGTGCACGGACAGCGCAAAGTAACGTTGTTATATCGTGGAAAAATTGTCTTTTCAAAACTTTTTTTAAATCGTAGTTGAAATCGTGAAAAATGAGAAAGATGGATTTGTCAATTTTGTCTTTGAATTCTCTCTGTTTTTTTTTTTTCGTGTAAAAGATATAGATATTGTCCATCTGTGTCTTTTTATTAGTTTAAATCTTGCAATTTGGTATAATATTTATTTCGATATACCAAGTTTTTCAATTTAATTCTCTTTTTTAATTTCAATTTATGAGATATATGAACCATCCTCGAGGTGATGACATTGATAATAATTAATTAATTAATTAATTAACTCTTTCAATCGATCTCAATCGATTTATTACTATTATTCTTTTTAATAAAATCTAAAAAAATCAATATCAAAGATTCCATCTCATCAAATGTTTAAAAAAATAAAACTCTTTGAATTTTCCTTCGAAAACGATCTATGGATGATTTAAATTACAAGCATCCAAATTTTTCATGCCACAAATTTATCGTACCGATAATTATACGATCTTCGATCGTTTTCGTTCATTAAAAAAAAAAAAAAAAAAAAAAAAAAAAAAAAAAAAAAAAAAAAAAAAAGAAACAAGAAACAAAAAAACTTGGAAAAGATATTGATACGTTATGAAAATCGAATGGTCGATTATGCGTACTGTCGAAATTTCGTTTACAAAGTAACAAGTTCGGTGACTAGAGGTGCCCACTGTTTCAGTCACTAGCCCGCGCAGCCAGCACCGATCAATACAACCCCAAACCTCGGTTCGCGTATTTCCGAACCCAGTTTACCAACTGGTCGACGAAAACGCCCGAAATTCTATCATGGAATTGCAATTTCGGGAATCCGAAGAATGCGCGTTAGACAGCTTTGCCAGGTTGTTTATTGCAATATTTTCCTTGTCCCGAAAAATGTTTCGTTTACTTGCACGTGATCGTGATTCGAGAACCATATCTGATTTATTTTTATCGTTATTAAAATATTCAATGTATCTTGTTAAGTAGATCAGATCTGGTTAGATTATTTAATCTATTAATTAATAATAATATTTAATGAATTTTAAGTTGATTAGATTACAAACTATTTTTATTTTGTAATTAATCAACATTAAATAATCGAATGATTTGGTGTGTCATAAAAAAAAATTGGTTTCTTCAGCGACGTATCTTTCATCTGAAAAAAAAAAAAAATAGAATAATGTAGATGTAAAGAGATGAAATTCTGATACTTTTTTAGGATGTGTTTTTAAATTATCGTATAAAATATCTTATAAATGATAAAGTATCATCGAGATACGATCGATTTAAATTTTGGAAAAATAATTGAAAAACGAAAAAAGAAAAAATAAAAAGAATTTTTGGGATAACCTGATATTTCTTCGTTGCAGTAATTTCTTTATGAAAGAAAAGATTGCTCCAGATCTCTGTTCGTTCAAGTCACGTGAAATTGTGATCGTTCCACGTTTGACAATTGATATCGAATATCGATATATCACTGTAAATATCGTTCATGTAAAAATAGTGAAATTCTTCTTCTTTTTTTTTTCTTTAATTTCGCTGATTGGAATATGTTAATTATATATGCCGGTGCATCGAACTCGATTATTAAACTCGTTGGTAATTTATGCAAACAGATTCGATTATCTTCGTCATTTTGAGCCGTATTAAATATCTGGTACATTGTACCTCTAATCGTCGTGACAAATTAATTGTGAATATTTTACGAGTTATATTATATCGAATTTATATCGGATCGGTTACATATGCGATGTAAAAGTATCGGTAATTTAACATTTAATATGTATTACGTAACGTGTGCTTCGTATTTCTATACCACAAATTTTCAATTCATATTTGCCTTTTTTGAGAAGCTCAGAGGAAATTTGACAATCTTTATATTTTTCAAATACTAAAATATATTTTATATTTAATTATATCATCATTTATTCCTTTCATCGTTTCGAAATAATAAGTATCCTCTTATTTCTTCGAATATCTTTCAAATCGTGGAATTGAAAATTACATCTTGGAACAATAAAACTATTATTTCATTTTCATATCATAAACATAATATTACAAATTCATTCTAATATAACACTTCGATCTTCCACTTTAAAAAAACACACACACACACGCGTGAAATTCAAGAACTCAATGTTTCAATTTATACTCGATAAAACGATCGAAACGAGTATAAAATTTCAATCTCATTTTCCTATCGAATCTCTGTCAACAACTGGAATGATCTCCGAGAAGAGAATATATTCTGGATACCAACGATACACCGTCCAAGGGTATTCTTTTCTTATGGAGATTACAGGCGGGCAGAGGGCGTAGCTCATACGTGCGTGCAATTAAGTCGTAGAGACGCGAGCCTCTAAATTAACTTATTAAACGCGAGTGTGGGGGTGTACACGGACGCCTTAACGCGCCTACGAAGCCGTAAATAACATTCAGAGCCGCATTTTCTAGCCGTATATCAGTGCAGCCCCATGTGGACGGACCACGGCTGCGAGAAAGCACATGTAAACGAGCAAAGACGTACACTCGCTGTCCTGCGAGGGAAGATTCTACTTTATTGCATCGAGCGCCATCGTGTAATTTAATTTTCGAAACATGGGGAAGGAAATTGTACCGTTTCTGCGCGATCCTAAAATTCTGGAAATTCGTCGTAAATCCTCGAGGAGATCATCGTTTTTCATTCGTTGTTTCACCTGTTATTTAGATATTTATGTGATATACTTACTAATTAGTGGAGTAATGAGTTGATTAGGATGGGTAATGTTTCTGAAGGATTTGGAAAATATATTGGTTGGTTAAAGTGGATAATTTAATTTTCGTTAGTTGGAAGAATCGTATATTTTTGTGTAGTTTGGGGTAAATTTTGGCATTTATGTATTATTACGTATGGATTCTTTGTGTTCTTCAAGAAAATTAAAATAGAGGAAATTTTATATAGGCTTCGTTTTAATATATTACTTGATTTTAATTTTCTAAGATTTATGAATAAATTATATTTGATTAAAATAAAGTTTCATTTTTTCTTTTTTTTTTTTGATATTTTATGTAATTTGAATTTTCTGGAATTTATAAAATGCTGATGTTATTGAAAGGAAGCCTGTATAAGTATATGTACTTCATATTTGCATCTCTTATTGAATTATTCATTTAATAAAATCCGTAGACACGAGTAAGTAATTTCGATTGCGTACCGTTTTGCTTTGATCTTCCTCAAGGTAGTTACATTTAGAATCTTATTCACGTACCTGTTTCTCTGAATTTGATACTTTGTAAGCTGTTTGCAGAAGCTTAGTTTATTTTATCCTCGTATAAATTACATTAAAGGATGTTGCGTTAATCTTCGAAATTGTAATCAAAACTAATATGAATTAGTTCTGAATTTATCATCTGCATTACGGGCATCGTATGTATCAAAATGTATAATATACACACGTATAAATTTGTAATAATAATTCATCCTTTGAATACTTAAAATTAAATATTTTGACATGATGAATAATAATGTTATATCATCTGGATGGCACAATTACGATGGTAAATCTTTCTCGTTAACTCCTAATTTCTAAAAAAAAAAAAATAATAATTAAATAAAATAAAAAAATAATTTTCTACTAATTTTCTACTAACGAGAGAACTTTGTGATATAAATCAGTCATTCAAAAGTTCATCTGATCGCAACATTACTTACTTTAAAAGTTGTGAATTTCTTTTTTCCTTTTCATTTTATTAAAAAATGAAAATTTGTTAGCGATCTCAATTCAAAACAGCCAAAAATATATATATATTCCTCTGCAAGTAGAGAAAAAGTTGTGTTAAAGATCCAGACAAAACTATTGTATTATTGTATACATCAAAGTTTACGACATACGGTATCTGTCTGTGATATAATATTACCTCGAACTTCATCAGGGGTCGTCATTCAGAAGTTGAAGCCTTCGGAGAATACACCTTTGTTCCCGGGATTCTCCAATCAACGCGCTTTTCCACATGAATTTTCTTCAGGGTCGTCGACTCGCAAATACAACTTCGCCGCAAATCCGAATTCCATGGGGGGCAAAGATGATCTGTTTCCCTCTCCTCTCCACGGCCCTTTATCAGGCTTCCGTAATCCAGAAACAGCTCTGAAAGTTTTGAAGTCCGATAAAGCGAACCGCGATTATGAAAGTTTTCCACCCCTTTCTCTCTCTCTCTCTCTCTCTCTCTTTTTCGTGCTCGCTTCCTCAGTCTTTCTTCCTCCTTCTGTTTGGACCCAACGTTGCACGATTCGACGGGATTCAAAATTAAATCCATAACAGACTTTGTTTGGCTTTCGTTTCTTTTTTTCTTTTCTTTCTTTCTTTCTTTTCCTACCCTGTACCAGCTGCAACTGAAAGGTGAAACGGTGAGATTTGAGTGGCACGATACCTCGTGATACCTCGTGATTTCGACGATTGGCTTCGTCATGATGAGACAGTTAATTATTCTGCGAATTATCTATTTCTAAGCCGATTTTGGAGACGAAGGATTGTATCATCGTTTGTTTGTAGCTTGTTGTTTGATCGATCGTTTGATTTTTCTGAAAAGTATACATAATGTAATATATTCATGTTATTTATATTGAATTGTATTATTATTGAAATGAAATCAGACTTTAATAACGAAATTTATTTAATTAAAGATTGTTACAATTTAAATAACTTTCTCAATAAACAAAGAAGGTAAAATTTGGTTTAAAATTTTGATCTACAAATTTTTCTGCAAGTCTAATTTCTAATAAATAATAATAAATAAAATTCACGCCACTTGGATTGTGTCGAATTAGGATAAGATTGATTTTATATACGTATATAAATTTGAAAATTTCTAAATATTACGAAACACTAGAGATTCATCAGTGATATTTATCTCAGAATTTACCCCTTAAACATTCCTGAAATCAAATTTTTTCTAATTACAAAATCAATGCAAGAAAATCCAATTGGAGTCGATCGCGGTATCGATCCCTCCATTCGAAAATAAGCCAGTCCAGTGAAATAAGGGGTCTGGCTCGAGTGACTTTCGGAACGATAGCTCCTAGATTCCTTTCACTCACGCCACCTTGTCCGGATCCTGTAATCTGTTATCGTAAAAATCCTGCCCGCTCACTGCTGCGCGCCACCGGCTTTAAAGGTATAGAGAGGAGGGATATCCGCTGTATGAGACACGAGCACACCGCAATCGTTGGGGGGGAGGGAAAGGAAGGGACGAAGCGTGGAGAAAAGGGACGAGACGTCACCCTTCAAGAGACGGAGTAGTATCAATATCACGCCTCACTGCCACCTCCGCTCAAATCCCTTCCCCAGTCTCCCCCTCTCTTTTCGCCCATCCCTTATTATCGGTTTGGAAAAATAATCTTCGAACACTCATAGCCGCAGGGAAATGTCGAATATCCACTCGTTCCTATATCTCGAGCATTAATTAACATTTTAAACAAAATTATTTTAATAATTCAAAACTACGTTATGAAAGATCTTTTTCTCTCCAATACTTTTCGATATTTTCAAGTATTTTCAAGTTGATATTTATTCGAATAACTTTTTCGAAGTTTGACAAATTTTTATTTTACGATAAATAATGGGAGAGTAATAATTGTAAATAACAATTAGCGCGATTAAATATCGTTCAATAATTTCAAACAATAATTGGAAACACTCGTTACTTAAAACTTGAGCAAAAATTACTTTCGATTCGCTCCATCCGATATCATTTTTGCGTGTTTTTGCTCTTCGAAAAAAAAAAAAAAACACGAGAAAAACTAGAAAATAGATTTGCGGAATCCATTCCCCACCAATCGGCCACGCTCTCGATCGATTGACTTTCGAAAATAATATGCACCCGCCGATTTATTCGCGCCGCGCTCCCCGCGAATAAACGCGTCGATAAATCAATGCTTTGTTCCGGGACAGGGCACAACGCGAGTTCACGCATTTCGTACGCAATTCGTGCTCCACGCGTGTTTAAAATAATCGAGGAATGGAACGGCGCGCGCGGAAACGTTTTCGAAACGTTGCCGAATGATAAATAACCGTTGTCGAAGGAAAAGGGTTCCCTGGATCATTGGTAATTCGGTGGGGGCTGATAACTTTTTTTTTTCCTTTTTTTCTTTTTTTTTTTTTCCACGTTCCCCCTGCCGTTTCACCGGCTAGTCGCCCGTTTCAAAGGGGTGACAAAGTGTACACTCAGCGTTATATCGCGAGGTTGAAATATCGTTTCGGTGAATTGTTCGGGGTAACGACACTTCCATGAAGCATCGGCGCGGAATAAAAAATGGGAAGGACTCGACGTTAACGAACGAACGGATAAATAAATGTGGCAGGTCTCTCTTGAAATTTGGATCTTGGGTGGCTGATATTATAACCCTTTTTGCGGAGGAGTTGTTTGTGAAGGGTTAACATAGAGAAAAAGAAAATCGTTGACGAATTTTTGATAAATAAATCTGCTCGAGGTTTCTTGAAATTTGGC